CCCCCCCCCGACACACATACACTTAATTCCAAAAGGCAGGGCGCTTCTCCTTTGTCTAGGTCAAATCCATTTCACCCAGCCCCTCGGACGTTAAGACTTTTTCTCTGTCTTGCTGATCACTTTGAAAATCCAAACTATTTTTTAACTGCAGAAAATTGTACGTATGTTTTTATTGGCAGTTTTGTCCAACCATTCAATTTCTAAAAGAGAACTCTTTTGACTTTTTTTTTTAAAAAAACACTCTGGTTGAACTCTAGCGTTGAACAAAAAACACCTTTTGTTTGTGTGTGTGTGTGTGTGTGTGTGTGTGTGTGTGTGTGTGTGTGTATGGGTGTGTGTATGGGTGTGTAGGTGTGTTTGAAGGTATTCTTTTTAACAGTAACAAAGGTAACAATAAAATCAGAACCTAGCCTTTTTGTTCTTTTGCTGTTCGTTGTGTCCTTGATGGTCCTTGGTCCCCTGCCTGTAATGACGTTCACTGGTGTATTTTTTGAAATACCGAAAATTGTGTGAAATAATTTTTTTAAGGCACCTTCTTCCTCCTCTCCATTTGATTTGTGTAATATCTGATCTAACTCCCCACCCCCACCCCGGCGTTTATGATTTGGGAACACAAATTCCATATTTCATTTTATACCCCAAGGTAAAAAAAAATTAGAAAGCCGCAGGAAGGAAGAGTTGTTACTGAGCTGTGACATTTCCAGTTAAAACTCCAGTTTTTTTTTGTTTTTTGGTCTCTTGCATTTTATAACACTCATTCCTCCCCCCCCCATCTCTTCCTCCCCTGCCTTCCCACGTAGCTGTATGAATTAGTAGTGAAATAGCAGATAAACTGTTACGGATTTCAACAGCAAATATGTTTTTCTGGAACTTAAAATAATAATAATAAAAAATTTCCCTCACTTTTTTTTTTTAAAAAAATTGAGCTTTTTATGTTTCTTAACAGATTACAATTTTACTGTATGGCTCTGTAAGGAAAAAAAAAATTACTAAGTGGTGTCTTGGTTGCATGTTAAAAGTCTACCCAGAGTCGTTCTCCTCATCTGTAACTGAAAACCCACAGTATGTGGGGAGCCCTAACAAGTGCAGCTATTTATGTCTGTCCGTTTTTTGGTTGTTGTTCTTTTTTTTAATTATTATTGTTCCACTTAGAAGTTGTGTGAATTTTATTTTAATTTTTTTCCCTTCAGGGATTAATAAGCAGTAAGGGAAATACCCAAAAATCTTGTTTGAATCTTTAAAGATGAAGAAGAAAAATACCGCCCCTCATTTTTTCCCTCGATAGAAGTTAATTGAAAGATTCCCGTAGAATAAAAACAGTATATTTGTATATGATGCACGAGTTCCAAGTTTTCTTTCTGCCTTTGAAGGTGTTTTGTTTTGTGCTCTGCGAGGGCAAGAGTCCTTTTCAGAAAAGATGGCGTTGTGAAGTGTGGGGTCCATGTAAAGAAAATGGTGCCTTTATTTCTTAGCTCCATTTTTTAGCCTGGCTTTTCTTTCAGCTGAGCTCAAGACAGGGTATACAGTGATGCCTCGCTTAACAATAATCCGACAATAATCCGTTCCAGGAAAATCACTGTTAAGCGAAAACATCGTAAAGCCAAATTTAAAACCCAATTGAAACACATTGAAAACTGTTCAATGCGTTCCAATGGGGTAAAAACTCACCGTCCAGCGAAGATCCTCCATACGGCGGCCATTTTCGGTGCCTGTATAGCAAAGAATCTGTCCCTAAGCACAGCAGGGAGCCATTTTAAGCACCCGGTGGCCATTTTGAAAACCCAACGACAGCTGTTTTTGATTGTCGTAAAGCGAAAATCGGTTCCCGAAGCAGGGAACCGATCAGTCACTAAGCGAAATTCCCCCATTTAGACCATCGTTTTGCAATCGTAAAAACGTCATAAAGTGCATTCATCGTAATGCGGGGCAATCGTTAAGCGGGGCATGACTGTACCTGGCTTTCCTCCCTACTTTACTCTTATGAAAACCCCAAGGTAGACCAGTGCAAAAGCATGCAACGGACTCAAGATCCTTCAATAAGCTTCGTGGTTGAATGAGGATTTGAACTCAGGGGTTCTGCATTCTTTTTCTAACCACTGAACTACTCTGCCAGAAACTGGATGAATCACACGCAGAGGCCCTGCTTTGTTGGGCCAGCAACGTAGTATTGAATACTATAATGGGGCTTTCCAACATAGTATTGAATACTATAATGGGGCTTTCCTAAACTCGATTTGTGCCTGATGTTGCAGACTACAGTTCCCATTAGCCCCGGGGCTCAGCGACAGTAGAAGGCCAAGCATCAACCTGCAGAAGGCTGCTATAGCAGGACAACCTGCAAGGTTCCTAGCTGACCAGGTTGGTTCATAGCTCTGTTCTAACACAGCAGCACCAAAGTGTATTCCTTTGGCTCTAATGTTATCCGTTATTGAAAGTGCCAAATTATTGTCTGCTAGGCATGAACATTTCACCCTCTCATGTAGCTTCTTTCCCCCCACCCCCTTGCAAAAGGGTTATATGGCTGGATCTTTCAACAGCAGTCATGCAATTCTTGACCTGCAGATCCCTACAGCCAAGTCATCATCTTTGGGGAAAGCATTTCTCCCTTTCTGGGGCCAATCATCTGAACAGGCGGCAGGAGAAAACGCCAGCCAACATAACCACCTGAAACAGTTGAAGTTATTTAAGGTGACCGATAGGCTCTGGATACCAAACTGGAGATTTGCCATGCAGAGGGTCCCAGCAGAGTTTGTATGGGGTCACCAAGAGAATGCAACACATGGTTGCTCGACTTCAGATCAAAAACCTTAGATGCATCCTTGAGAATATAGCTTTATTAAAAGCGGTTATATGCAAGTAACATCACAGCTAGAAGCACATTCTTCTACCTTGACTAACACGATACAGCTGCTTAGTAGATTCAAGGTGGTCCTTGGCCTCACACTTTTAATGGAAACCAGTTAGAATACACTGTGTGTTTACCATGATAACCCAGGATGTATTTATTGCAAACAAGAAAATCAAAGCGTAATTACAGTGGTGCCCCGCATAGCGAGGTTAATCCGTTCCGGATTACCCCTCGCTATGCGAAATCGTCGCTAAACAGGTAGGGGAAATGTATTGAAACGCATTAAACTTAGTTTAATGCGTTCCAATACCTTTCTTACTTACCCGTTCAGCGAGGATTCCAATTGCCGGCAGCCATTTTCGCGCCTTCGCTAAGCGAGGGCAGGGTGTGAAAAGGGCTGCCGGCAGCCATTTCCGGGCTTCCGGCGGCCATTTTGGAACCGCCGATCAGCGGTTCAGCAGCTCCAAAATGGCCGCCGCAATACCCGATCTTCGCAATGCGGGTTTTCCCCATTGCGACGATCGGGTATGTTTCCGTATAGCGATCCCGAAAAAGGGATCGCTATACGGAAACATCGCTATACGGTGCACTCGTTAAGCGAGGCACCACTGTATGCTACTTTGCAATCAAAATCTGTCATTTATTAACGACTGGGTCACTGTCACCATTCTACTGGTGCCAATGTAAAGATCATGTGCCATTTATCTGGATCAGCAAAATGCACAGTATTTGTTTCAAGGGACGTTTATATCTAAGCTGAAGATTTACCTAGCTTGGAAAAGTCAAGTAACTGGATGACCACTCTAGAATTTCAACCGGCCATGATTGCCAAGAGCTTTTGGGAGTTAAAAGCCTAGAAATTACAGTTTCCCGGTTCTGCTGTGTATCATCCTCTTCATCCATGCCTTGGGTGTAGATGTGACAATCAGGTAGGTCAACCCAGGAGTTTGCATGGCCAGGGAAATTGAAGTTCAAAATATTTGAAGGATGGAGAACCACTAGGTTGTACAGCATATACTACCAACCACAAGCACACGAGTCTATACTGATGCAGCTGGGGGCAAAAAAATGGGTCTTCAAATAAGTATCCTGTAAAGGAGGACAGAAGAGGGTTGGCATGATGCATCTTCTAGCTGCTCAAGAAACCGATCACTGCCCCTACAGCTGTAGCTGGGGCAGCTATAGCCGTTGACACTCCTGCCGCACCTGGAAGGAAAAAGAAGTCTAAGAAAACTTGGTTGAGACAAAAGATGATGATCCGAGAGCTGAATCCCAGCATTATGGGAAAGCAGGAACAGACGGACGTCTTACCAATGGATTGCAGGGTGGCAACCACGCCACCGGCAGCTACACCTCCACCGTTGGCAATGGCAGCCGCCGACATCATCTTGGCTGCTATGGAACCAGCAGCAATCCCGCCGGCGGTGAAACCCAGGGCGCCGGCCGCCAGAGGGATACCGACCACTGCCGCCCCTGTGTTTGGAGAACAGAAGACTAAGCCGTGTGCTATTCTGTCATATGCTTGCAAGAAAAATCCAAAGGCCTTAGCCTTCTTGCGATTTCCTTCTGGGGCGCAAATGAAACCATTCGTCCAGCTTACCTGGAGATCTAGGTTTCATAGGTCTAATTAAGACAGCCCATTTATCCCACCTATGTCTACAGATCAAATTAGACAACATGTTTTCCCACTGCTGGGAGATGGTGCTCCTTCCAATGTTGCAAAAAGGGGACCTACTGTAGCCTGGTTTTCTACATTGGCTCGTACGTTGAGCATGCTCTCTTTGTGATTGGTCACTGAGAAGTAAGTATGGGCTTAATTTGCAAGTCTTAATTTCTGAAGCACATGCTATCTCAAGAAATCCCATTAGAGGGCAAACGGGATAAGTGTAAAGAATTCCTCTTAATGTCTACTTGGTGTCAAGGTCAACTAGCCATTCCAGAAGCCTAGTTTGTGCATGGTTATATTCCCCTTCCAACATGAGCAGGCCCAGTTCACATATAAGCCAAGACCCTGTGACATCCTTAAAATATCTGGAGCACACAGCCCTTCACAGGGCTGCTGTGAGTATCGGGGGGCATGAACCATGCCAAGATCCAACAGTCTTGGAAGTATTTCTTCCCAAAGAGCTTGTAAAAGTTAAATTTTTGGACTAGAGATGCCTGCATCCATACCAGGGGATCTGGAGAACCAAGATCTCCCCTACCCTCCTTTCTCTCTCAGAATGAGCTCAGCAAGACTCTGAAAGGTCTCCAAAAGGCACTCATCTTTAATATTGTTTCAGACAATGGAGCCCAATACATTCACCTCCATCTCAGTTAACAGGGCTAGTAAGTCTAATCTGTTACCTGCATGGGTGGCAGAAAGTTCATTTGCTCTGAAATCTCCACCATGGGACTTGAGCTTAACCTCCAACACCCTTGTGGCTACAACTACCTCACCAAACTTTGGACTCCCTCCCTTTTGGCAGGGAGCCCTTTAAATTCCACCACGACCGATCAAGGCCACAGACTTTTTCAGATTTTTAAAGTTGCTCTTCCTCATTAAGGGAATTGTGAATCGGGGATCAACTTGTTTTATTTCCACGGGCCCAACGTAACATTTCTGTACATCGTTCCCATGCTCACATCTGTTCATAAGTCATGTTAATGGGTGACTCACCCAAGCCCACGACAGCTCCAAAAAGGGTATCTAAAGGAAAGAAAGACATTTCATCAAGGCATTCAGGGACTCAGAACACATCAGGCAATAAAAGTGTAGGGGTGGAAATCATGCAAGTTGTGGAAATATCTCCTGGGGGCTTTCTCCTTTCTTCTTCCTTAAGCGAGGAGCCCCTTCGCCATAGGTTAGGTAAAGGTTCCCCTTGACAATTTTTGTCCAGTCGTGGTCGACTCTAGGGGGCGGTGCTCATCCCCGTTTCCAAGCCATAGAGCCAGCGTTTGTCCGAAGACCATCTTACGTGGTCACATGGCCAGTGCGACTTAGACTCGGAACGCTGTTACCTTCCCACCGAAGTGTTCCCTATTTATCTACTCGCATTTGCATGCTTTCGAACCGCTAGGTTGGCGGGAGCTGGGACAAGCAACGGGCGCTCACTCCGTCACGTGGATTCGATCTTACGACTGCTTGGTCTTCTGACCCTGCAGCACAGGCTTCTGCGGTTTAGCCCACAGCGCCACCACATCCCTTTTTCGCCGTAGGTTAAGGGAGTGCAAAATTTGCCCCTTTCCTTTACAGCAGTGGTTCCCAACTTTGGGTCACCCAGATGTTCTTGGACTGCAATTCCCAGAATCCTTTACCACCAGCTCTCCTGGCTGAGGTTTCTGGGAACTGCAGTCCGAGAACACCTGGATGACTCAAGGCTGGCAGCCACTACCGTAACGGTTGGCCTATACACAACCAGAACACGCACCGCTGTGACCCAAATGAGGTGAAGCCAAATTCTTTCGCAAGTGTGTAACTTATATGCCGCCCACACTACCCAAAGGACGGCTTACAACAATTAAAATACAATAAAAATATAGGACAATTAAAATACAATTAAATTATATACTCTAAAAATTGTCATCAGGACCCAGATTTGGTATTATTTCAAATAATTATTATTTAAATTTCCACGCTTTACGTGGAACAGCCACCGTTCCTGTTGGGTTTTCGCCAAGCAACAAAAAAGCTGGAGAAGATGCAGCCGAAAACATCAGCAAAATGAATTAAGAGATTGGCATCCCTCCTCTCTCTCTTGAGGACAGGATATAATATTAGGGGCTGCTTAGTGTAGGAAAAATGGTGAGAAAGCAGGAGGGGTGCCTAAAATCACACCTTCTGTGCATAATCAAAGTAAACAGAAAGTTCTGCTTTGGGCACCATTTTGGGTGTGTTTCCCCCCCTAATACCAGAGTCCAGAAGCAATTATGGGAAGGGGGGGAGGAGGGGAGGGCCCTGTTCCAGGACAGATAAAATGAGGTTTGACTTCACAATGCAATGTCTGGCTCTCCCAACAGGACAACAACTCACATCCCCCATTTTCCACCCCTGGCTGTACTGGCTCAAGCAGACAAAAGCGCTGAAGGCCCACCCCCACGGGGGGGGGTTAATCTCAAAAAGAAGGCAGAGCCAAGGGGCTGGGAGGGAACGCAAATTTGCCAACATTACACAGACCCCTTTCAAAGCGGTTCCATCCTAAAGGAATCCTGGGAGATTTGTAGTTGGGTGCAGGACTTCAATGAACGCAAATTCGCCAACATTACACAGACCCCTTTCGAAGCGGTTCCATCCTAAAGGAATCCTGGAAGATTTGTAGTTGGGTGCAGGACTTCAATGGCGAGGGATTCCTCTGCTGTAATTCAGGGGGCTGTTCCTCTCTAGCCGAAAATCCTCAGCCTCCTGCTGGACGACGAACTCCGAGCCGGCAAAGCATGGAGGGGGGAGGGACACTCGCCAACATTACACAGACCCCTTTCGAAGCGGTTCCATCCTAAAGGAATCCTGGAAGATTTGTAGTTGGGTGCAGGACTTCAATGGCGAGGGATTCCTCTGCTGTAATTCAGGGGGCTGTTCCTCTCTAGCCGAAAATCCTCAGCCTCCTGCTGGACGACGAACTCCGAGCCGGCAAAGCATGGAGGGGGGAGGGACACGTTTCCGCTCCGCAAGAAGGGACCCCAAAATGAGAACTCACCCATTCTTAGTTTTCTGTCCTCAGCGTCTCGGCCTTCTTTTCTCTCTCGTGGGTTAGAGTCCTGCCTGTGGGACAGATGGATCGTTATTTGATGAAACCGACTACGGATCCCATCATGTGGGCACTTAGCGCAAGGGGGACGGATGCAGGACCGTGGGGTCCTTCTGGAAGCTCCACCCTCCCAACTCTTACGAATTCACGTCTACAGGTAACGGGTTTCCAGTCGCGTCAATACAGGTTGATCGTTTAAACAATCCTACCTTTTGATGCCAATCCCATCTTCAAAACCAGCTGGGTTAACCAAGCTTGGTCTGGATGTTTACCCAGCTGGTTTTGATTGCATTTTGAGGTGATTTAAGATTAGCTTTGTTTCTAGTTAATATTTTGCCTTTCCTGATGAAGACGGCACAGGATACTGCCATCAAAAACTGGGACCGTTTAAACAATAAATTTGTACAGTGGTGCCTCGCTTAATGACGATAATCCGTTCCAGGAAAATCGCTGTTAAGCAAAAACATCATAAAACAAAATTTAAAACCCCATTGAAACGCATTGAAGCCTGTTCAATGCGTTCCAATGGGGTAAAAACTAACCATCCAGCGAAGATCCTCCATACGGCGGCCATTTTCGCTGCCTGTATAGCGAGGAATCCGTCCCTAAACACAGTGGGGAGCCATTTTAAGCACCCGGCGGCCATTTTGAAACCGCCGATCAGCTGTTAAAAAAACATCATTTTGCGAAGAATCAGTTCCCAAAGCAGGGAACCGATTATCGCAAAGCGAAAAAACTAATCGTTATACAGCAATTTCACCGTAATGCGGAGCAATTGTTAAGCGAGGCACCACTGTATTGACATGATTCGTTGAGAAAGAGAACACTCTTATTAATTTAATTTTCAGTATTTTTTTTTGAAAGAGTGCTTTCCAAAATGGCTTCCTTTTTCAGCATGCCTCTAATTCTGCTTTCTGTGCAACAGCTTGTTGATGTAATTTTTTTAAGGGAGGGTGGAAATTCCATTGATGATCCATAGGATCCTTTTCCAACATTGAAGTTCAAGAGGATGATGATGATGTCACATCTAGAGCTAAAGATAGAAAATCACAGCACAAATGTTCCTTCTCCACAGCTTTGTTCACTTGTTTTTCATAGAAAGGGGGGGGAAAGGATTATTATAAGAGAATTGGAAGGTGGGGACAGCTGCTATGAAGTTTTCCTGGATCAAGCAGGGTGATGGCATATTTTTTTAAAAAAAGAAAAACTTAACAATCTCCCATCCAGCTACTATCAAAATAGCATTGGTTTTGCCTGCCGGGTGGTGGAAATGGCCCTGATCCAGCAGGCAGTCACTGGTCCTAAGAATTTCTAATAGCAGCTACTCAGGCAGAACATGGAAAAGGCAGATTCCTTGCAGTTTCCAAAACCGAACATTTTCCACCCAGGTTTCCTGTTACTGTTGACATACAAACTGGGGTAACTCTCCCCCCCCCATCATGGATGGCACATGGGGGGGGGGAATGCTCGCCTTGATCCCTGCATTCCACCTCACTCTAACCCTATCATCCATTTCCTCCTCCTCCTCCTAATACAGTAACAATCATCATCATCATCCAGCCACAGAGCTGCATGCAAAATGTGCTTCCCCGCCCCCTTTCCGAAGCACCCTCAAAACAGCTTGCATATCCACCCAAACTTGGAAAAGTTACATTTTCTGGCTTCAAACAGCGTCATCAAATAAAACCGCATCAGGGCATCCGAGTTTTTGGGAAAGTTGCGTTTTAGGTCCACAAAGGCCAAAATCCCCAGCCAGCATGCTGGGAGGTGTAGTCGTCCCCCCTCCCAAAAAAGTAAGTTTCCAAGCTCTGCGGCGCTCCGCCCGCGCATCCCTCCAGCCCTGCACGCGGCCGACCCCTTACCTGCACCATCAAGTCGACCGCACCTGCGACTGGAAAGCGGCCGCCGCTGCGCCCTTTTTATAGAAGATCCTCCAGGAAGGCGGGGCCTCAGTGACAGGCAGCCGCCTCCGCCAACCGGCGAAGGATGCGCTCTTCTGCAAAGGCTCTTCAGTTTCGGTTTCCCGAGAAGATGCGGAGGAAAAGCAACTCGAAACCCAGCGATGTGCTGCTTCGTCGCTCCAGCCAAGCCCTCCTCCCCGGTTCGCTCCACCTGGCACCAGCGCTTCCCCATCCCAGGAGTGAGAGGCCAAAAGCACCCACAGGGGGAGGCAGGAGCTCGGATTATTTTCATTTTTTTTTTACTTTTCATCCCGGCCGAGCCCCTGCTTACTTTTTCCGCGTTGCATCCTCTTCCACTGCACGCCTGTGAAGACGCATATACAATAGAGCCGCGGTAACCGAACCCTCCTTACCGCGGATGAGGGAAAACGCGAACATATGGAACGCTATCTTTTGTATGGTCTCTGACCTCCCTTTGAATGGTCAATTCTGGGAAATACATCCTGGAAATGTCTCTTTTTTTTCTGAGGATTTTTATTCAGTTATTCTCAGGCAGGAGATCAATGAATCAGCGGATACTGATCCCGCGGATAGTGGGGCAGTCCTACTGTATGTCTCAATTCTAAACTTTTATAAAAAGCTGCTGGGACACACTTCACCCCCCCAACCCTGTTATGTAACCCAACCACCTTCTAAACACCCCAAGCGAGCCTAATAGAAAAACAAAACAAAACACAGAGACATCGAACAGGTTCCACAGACTTTTCATCCCTCCGTCGATTTGCTGTCTGTTACAGTTTTGATGACCTTGCCTCACTGCTCTTTTTAAATTGCATTTTGTTGGGGGGGGGGTGAGTGAATGATTGATGCTATTTGAGAAGTCCCCACCACCATCCCCACAAGCTGTTTGCACACTATTCAAGAATGGCTTGGCATGGTTAACAACCATGAACCGCAACCATGGCAAAACTCTTAATGGCCTGATGAGAATGGACATATAACCATTGAAAGATCTCTGTCTCCATTCACTCAATATCCTTCCCCCCCCCCAGTGGCTGAATAAAAGTATCGCCTGCATCTGCATTCGCTCTGGCTTTTGGGGGGGGGGGCACCACACGGCCTGTTTTTTTGTTTCGAAAATTTGACCAACACAAAAAAACAGACAGGATGGTTCTTCCCCTTTAAGCGCTTGGTGTTCTGTAGGTGGGATATGCTGTGATAAGCATCCATGATGATGAAGATGAAGAAGAGAAAGTTGGCCTACAATGGACACTAAATAAATAAAACAAACAAATCTGCTCGCATCACTCGCTCTAGCCAGGAGAGGCGGCTGAGGAGCCTGACGCCGAGGGAGGTCCGGAAAGAAAAAAAAACAAGAAACGGGGCCTTCTTGGTGGTGGTTCCCCCTCTTTGGAACAATCTCCCCTCCAAGATCCGTCTGGCCCCTTCACTGGGTATTTTCAAAAGCCAACTTAAGACCTGGCTGTTCAGGCAGGCCTTCCCTCCGGGCACCACTTCATCTATTCTCTTAATCTTCATCTTGAGTGACCTTTTATTGTTGTGATGTTGTTGTTATTTTAATTGTTTTAAATCTAATTGCTGTGAGGCGCCCAGAGTAGACATTGTCTAGAAGGGTTTAATAAATAAAAAAGTAAGCAATGAAGAAATAACAAGTCATCTGGCTCTTAATGCACTGCTGGTTGAAATGATACAAAGACCAAAAGTTTTATTGCCGTTTTTAAGGTAGTAGCTTTATTGATTTGTATCGGCACCATCAGCCAAAATCAAAACAAGACAAACAAGCAAATTTTATTGGGATTCTTCTACATTTCAGCGGAACAAAGAGAGGCATGTGATCATGCTTGATTATTGCTAAGGAAAAGCAAGCACTGGTATAGAAATGGCCGGCTTTCTGCTTTGCTTCTCTCGATTTGCATCAACACAACATTCTTATCCTTTAGCCATTCTGGTGATGGACAGGCTTTTTTGCGTACAGCTGGACTTTTAAAACAGGGCCACGAGAGCTCCCAGGCCTGTGAGTGCGGCTTTAGTACCTGCTGAAAGGCCAACCACGCCTGGAAGAAAGAGGACCAGAGGCCACCATGACTGGAATGTTAGATCCTCGGGGGCATCTTCAAATGAGGCAAGAATTGGGCTCACCAAGGATCGCAAAAAGGACTCACCGATGGATTGCAAGACGGCGACCATGCTCCCAGCGGCGACGCCTCCACCGTTGGCAATGGCGGCAGCCGACATCATGTTGGCCGCGATGGATCCTGACGCAATCCCTGCGGCAGTGAAGCCGATGGCTCCCACCATCAGTGGGACCGCAACGGCTGCTCCTCCTGGGAAGCAAGACGTGTATGTTAAGTTGCACGCTTCCAGATCAAACAAAGCCTCCTCCCAAGCTTTAAAATGGCCAATCGGAGGCGTTTAGACTTTGGGCCGTATTATGAAAAGACAAGATTCCTTTGGAAAAGACAGTAAGGTCAGGAGAAGCCGAAAGCAGCAGGAAAAGAGGGAGCCGAAACATGAGACGGGTTGATGAAATAAAGAAAGCCAGGGTCGTGCAAGACCTGAGTGGGTCTGATAAGGGCAGGACCTTTGGAAGATCAAGGATTCATTGAGTTGCCGTGGGTCAGAAAGAACCCACTAGAGCAGGCCACAGAAAACGTGGCAGCAATAGTTGAAACCTCATGGACTCATTAGCCCACGTCCATGATTCTCTAGCTTGCCAACTTGAATTGAGTCTTCTAATTCTTTTTTTTTCCTGTGAAGTGTCACAAGGAAGAAATCCCTTGGGCGTCCAGTTATTTTGGATGTCATCTCCCCAAAACCTCGTTCCACACAGTCAATGGCAAAAGATCATGGGATTCATCATAATAATGCAATTCTTCAAAATGGTGCCCTCTACAATAAAAAATGTCTCCCCATTCTAGCTGAGAGGTAAAATTAGTCAACTTACCGAAGCCGATGGCGGCACCGATCAGGACTTTGGCTAACAAAAGAGAGGATTGCGTTAATGAGACGTTCAAGAAACAAATATGAAGTCTCCATGATTCGGTCTGCCGTTTCCCCTCCCAGAGACAGCCCCTTGATCTCTGTTGTTAATTGGCAAAAGAAAATTAGCAGGAAGTTCCAGCGCTTCTCTGCAGGGCTCAACAGAGATCAAGGCTTCATACGGCTCTACATGGACAAGTCACACTGCATTGTAAAATATACAACGTTTGACTCCTTGGACAAGCTCAGCCCTCGCTCGCAGAAACGTCTCTAAATATTTTTATGACAGTCATGTCCACTTGCCTTTTAGCTCTTGCTCAGGCCAGGACTTCCAGCTGAAGTAATTAACAACTTAATCATTCCATTCCAAAAATGCTCTTTTAAATGTAACCTCACCTGATCGGTGCTGAGGGCGGTCAATGTGTGCGGTCAATTCACAGGCCAGTGAATGAAACAAAATGGTTAAGTCTTTAAAATTCGACATGTTCCTTTTTTCAAGTAAAAGTACTACCTAGACCATAGAATGAAATGTGGAAGCGGGGGGTGTCGGTTGTATTGCAACTCCCATCGTTCTGTTTTGGTTGTAGTGCAACTCCCACCGTCCTCTCCCCACTGGCTCAGCTCCTGGGGCTGATGGGATTTGCAGTGCAAACAAAGTTTGGCCCTTGGTGCTCTGCCCTTGCCTACCACTGGTGGGAGAGGAGATGAACCACAGAGGAAATCAGGAACATCCACCAAAGGGGCCGAGAGGACAAACGTATTGATTCCAGAGGAAGGGCTCGAAACAGGGAACTTACCCATTGCTAAGCAGCTGGAATTCGACGCCTCACAAAACCTGTTGGTGCAAGAACTCAGAATGTGAGATGTTTCCTCCCAGTGCGAGAGAATAACTCCCCTTGTTTACTGATTTTCCCCACCCAAGAACTGCTCGAAACAGGGAACTCACCCATTGCAGCTGGAATTCGACGCCTCACAGAACCTGTTGGTGCAAGAACTCGAAATGTGAGATGTTTTCTCCCAGCGAGAGAATAACTCCACTTGTTTACTGATTTTCCCCACCCAAGAACTGGAAGGAAAATGGCAGTAGAGCCACCATTTATAAGGCCCCGAGGGGTGTGACTGATTTCCCAGCCGTCACACCATGTATGGGGAATTCTGCTCAAAGGTTCCCCTTGACATTTAGTCCATTCGTGTCTGACTCTAGGGGCGGTGCTCATCCCCATTTCCAAGCCGTAGAGCCAGCGTTTCTCTGTAGACCGTTTCCGTGGTCATGTGGCCAGCGCGACTAGACACGGAACGCCGTGACCTTCCCACCGAGGTGGTACCTATTTATCTACTCGCATTTTTACATGCTTTCGAACAGCTAGGTTGGCAGGAGCCTCTGCTCTAGCCTGGCCCTAATCCGTGCCCAAGCCTGGCTGTTTCTCGCTCCAGCTGTAGGGCTGCTCCTTTCTGAGGATGGGACAGAGCAATTCCCTGGCTGAGAGAAGAGTCACTTGAAGGGACCCTTTCCAGGGCAACGGATGTGCGCGTTTCCTGCGTTTCCCTCCATTTGATCGCACCCTTTCCTCATCTGTAGCCCTCATTTTCCCTGCACCCTTTTCACGTTCCATTCCAAGCAAGACCAGATGGCAAAGGGTCTCTCCTGGGCTCTTGAGGAGAGGAGGGGCTAAAGCCAGCCAAGGATATCTTCCTCTTCATTCCTCCCCATTTCCCCCATTCTGACTTTCCAGGCGAAAGGAATGTAGGGCTTGGCAAGCCATTTCCACAACCCTTCCGGAATAGCAGCAATGGCTTCCAACCAAAACTGGGGGTTTTCAGCCCCTGCTTTCCTCATCTTCATGGGACTTCAGAAGAAGGCATTAAAATCACCCAGAGCTTGGAAGCATTTGTTTTGGGCATTATGCGCCTCCAGGCATCATTTGGCGTTTCCCCTCGCTCACGCCTATGGCTCAGCCTGCCCACCCATGCCCTCCATGGCATCCAGGTGTCCACGCACCCATCCTTTGGATCTCATGCTTCTCCAGAGCATGGAGAAGGTCCTAATTTGGGGGGGTTCCAGACCCTCAGATTCTCCAGCTGGCTTCAGCAATTGCTCTGTGAGCTGCGGATACTGGGATCCGGAGTCCAAAGAAGGGACTTCTCCCCCGCATATTGCTTCCTCTTCTGAAAGTTCCAACTTACCTCCTCTTGGAAGAAGTTCTGCGGAGTCAGGAAGAGAAGTCGGGGGTGCCTTGCTTTTCTAGAGTAGACCTTTGGTCTAGATGGGCGGGGTGGAAGTATAATTAATTAATTAATTAATTAAGACCAGAAAGGGGGGCAAGGGCCATTAACGATCAGCCGCCTTTGCCAACCTATAGGAAGGGGGCCTGATGCTGGGCCCCTCCCTACTTGGTAGGTTTCTTCCCTTTCAGTTTTTGATTCCCCAGAAAGGTGTGGAAACGAAACCTAACCTTTTCCAGTTGGCCATGGCGTTGAACCCACGGACGGGAATCCAAAGGTTGCACAAATACTGTGGAAACACAATTTTTAAAAAAACACACAACATCAAACAAACAGGCGGAGCCTGTTAACCTTCTTGCCTGCTTGGTTTCCATCAGTTTTGCTTCTTCCCCATCCGTGCTGATCCTTTGCTGAGTCATGAGCCAGAATGAAGGAAACGAAAATAAAAATGGCACCCGTCCAGTGGCGCCCATTGCGGGTTTTGTAGCCATTTTTATTTTATTTGTTTCTTTGAGCCTGCCAGTTTCCCTTAATTCTCCATCAGACTGGCTCAGTTCTCAGTCCTGGTGTGTTGTGTTGTGTTGTGTTGTGCTGGTGGGGTGGAAAGCACAACCCAGTTTTGGGGGAAACAGTAACTAGTGAGACCTAGAAGTAAACAGGGAGATGCGGGTCATGGGACATTCTGTCAAGTTAAACTTCAGTTGCAACGGTGACTTGACTCAGATTCAGAGTGTGTGTGTGTGTGTGTGTGTGTGTGTGTGTGTGTGTGTGTTAATGACACAGACTCGTGACTTGGAACCCACCTACCCTCCCTCTTTTTTTTTCCTGGGCGAAAAAGCTTGTTTTTAATAGGGACTTGGTTCCAATCACTCACTCTGACTCGGGATTTGCCAGCATCCCTGGATGGAAACAATGGTTATGGCCTTCCCGGAATGTTTGTTTGTTTGTTTATATATTTTATTTGGCTATTACACCACCCATCTAGATAAATCTACTCTGGGTGGTTTACAGGAGAACAAAGGCTGACAGATGCACTGAGGTGGAGCGAGCAAGAGAGAGAGACCCAGCCTTATCTTTCCAGGTGTCTTTAGAAGGTAGGAGGATGAGCACTGGGTGGCGATAGCCTGAATGGGGATTCCTTACCTGAAATGGGAGTGGTTATTATGGGTGGATTCAAAAGTGTACACATTCATCTCCAACTGGATTGTTCTATGATTTAAATGGATTGTTCTGCCTTCCTGCTTTGAATGTGTTTTTAGTATTGCTTTTGGTTGCCGTTTCCAAGAGTGGCCTTTGTTTGGTCCACTTTTAGAACTTGTATAATTGTTTACTTATTGACTGAAAGAACTGGGCATGCTTAGCCTTGAGAGAAATGGGAAAGCCCTTTTCAAATACAGTGGTGCCCCACTATACACTTACCCCGCATGATGTCGAAATCGCTTAATGATGACATTTTTGCTATCGCTATTGCAATCGCAAAATGATGGTTCCTATGGGGGAAATCCGCATTACGTTGATTAGGAGCCTGCTTCATGAACTGTTTGTACAATGATTTTTCCAGTTCCACAAAATGGCTTCCCTCTGCAAAATGGCTTCCCTCCCTTCTCTAAATGGTTGCTTTCCGGAGGGAAGCTTCGCATTACAGCGATTTTGAACAGCTGATTGGTGGTTCGCTATGGGCAATCTTCGCCGGACAATGAGGTATTTCCCCCATTGGAACACATTGACTGGTTTTCAATGCATTCCAATGGGGTTTTTTTCCACTTGACGACGATATCGCTTAACAGCGATTTTCCTGGAACAGATTATCGTCGTCAAGTGGGTCACCACTGTACTAGAAAAGCTGTCCTAGAGAGGAGGGGCAGGATCTGTTCTCGATTGTCCCAGAGTGTCGGACATGTCATCATGGGTCCAAGCGACAGGAAGCCAGATTTAGGCTGAATCTCTGGAAAAACTTCTTAACTGTTAGAGCAGTACGACAATGGAACTCATGGCCTAACGAGGGGAGGCGGTGAGCGCTCCAACATTGGAGGCCTTCAAGAGAAAATTTGAACACCCTCCGTTAGATCTGCTTTGACTTGGATTCCTGCCTTGAGCAGGGGGTTGGACTGGATGGCCTTAGAGGGTCCCTTCCGACTCCGTTCTTCAATGGTTCTATGACTTAAACACTGTCTTTTCATGATGTCATTCCCCTTTATATACTCATTGTTTCTAGCTTTAAAGGTTGTCTTTTAATCGTGTAAGCTGCTTTGGAAGAAAGGTGGGGTAAAATATTTTAAATAAATAAATATGAGTCAAGTCTTGTAAATAGCTGGCAACCCGGGAATCTGGACAGACGAGCCAAAGTTAAAAACAGCCACACCAGTCCTTGTACACAGTTCAAAGGGTAACGTGAGGTCAGAAAACCTGACGTTTTCCCATCTCCCTGAAAGTCCAATAGAACTTGATAGACCTTTAGGGGAAAAAAACCAGAGGCCGTCTACATTTTTTAAAAGGGAGAACAATTCAAATGTTGTGTTCCTGTGGGATCTCCCCCCCCCTTTCTAAAAAAGAAAAGGAAAGCATGATTATGGATGCCGTGATGGGAATAATTTAAGCTGGAGTTTGGGATCAGCGGCAACACAAATAAATCCCCATGATCTTTCTCCGTAGTCCTCTCAAAGTATTTTCTTAAAATCTCTTTTAAGAAACCATTTGCCATTAGTTGAAGCGTTTGAACACACAAGAAGACACGGCAGCTGTCGTTTCTCCACTTTATTGTCCACAAAACGTTGTTCAGATGCGTAATACTGTAACAAATGACACGGAGCGCAACCTGGTCCCAGCCATTATAACACACCTGCACACACACATACACACACACACAAGCAGAAACAATAGCACTCAAAAAAAAGAGCACAGTGTTCGGAGACCGGCAGTTGTTGAGTGGCTAACCCTGTGTGTGCAACAGGCTCACTCACTCGCACACACTCTCTCTCACACACACCCCTTCTTGCAGGCATCTTGGCTGAGACCCAGGGTGAGAATTTAAATTAAGAGATCTAGACTTTTCCCCCCCCATTGGCTGTATCAGACACTCGCACACACACTCGCACCCAGAACCCAACCATGTGTAGGGAATAATACAGTCTCCCCCTGCCCTGACCTAGCTGACATCTGAAATTTTTTTAAAAAACGAAACCGAAAGGCGTCTCCCATGAACACACGTGAATTGGGGGGGTGGCGAGGGGGGCAAAACCACAACGGTGATTACGTGTGCAATCCCGTGCTAACACTGACGTTTATGTACATTATCCACACCCTCTGTACCCAGCCTGTTAAATAACTATGTGATTATAGAGCCTCGTGGGATGAGCTAAGGGTTCCGTCTGATAAGGTGCATATTAAAAAAATTAATCAGAATCAGAACCATAACATGAGAGCCGTAGAAGAAAGAGATAGGCCGTGGGACTGAGCCACCCCCCACCCCCAAGCCTCGCTCCTGGCACGCCCCCGATCCTCGCAAGGGTGGTGGTCATGGCGGTGGGGAGGCATCATCCTTTTGATCAGAGATGGCCCGGAGTTGGCACGTCGTTGCACCCGCCCTTTCGGGGAAGGAGAAAAGTGGCATCACTGCTTACAGAACCTCTGTGGGGGAGAGAAGAACAGAGGGGAAAAAGCACATTGGTGGATGTACTTTTTTTTCCACTCCAAAATTCGGATGGGCACGAACCAGCCGGCTGGCGATTCGTGATGGTTCGAACAAGAGGCAATCCCCCCTCTGGGGTGGATTGGCCACTCATAGGCAGAGTCTGGAGGAGGCGGGGCCGGGAAGCCGGGCACTGCCTCAGAGTGGACAACCCCCCCCAGAGGGGATGGGGCGCCAAACCACAGACCAGCTGTGGGGCTGTTGGCCGAACTGGCACGAATCTCTGAACCGGACATTCATGCCCATCTCTGCTCCAAAAGAAACGAAAATGGAAAACAGCACATCCAATTCGAGCAGTCAATTTGCAGAGCTGGGATCTTCTGGATCCAATCCTGGGCTGTTGCCAATACCCGTAGCTGAAGCATCCCAGACCTCTTGTTGAAAAACCTCCCATTACCTCCTGAGGTAGCCTGTTTTATTGTCGAACGACTCTTACCTTCAGGAAGCTCTTCCTAATGTTAAGTCCCAATCTCCCTCCCTGTAATTTTGCAGTTCATCTTTGACCTGGGATGTCCAGTTCAGCTGTGGCCAGGAGTGCCTCTGCACAGTGCAAACTAATGCTTTATGTTTTGGGTGTTCTATAGTTATAATTGCATTGCCTTCGTTGTGTTTCACTTTATCGTGCTGTAAAATGCCCGTAAAATAAATCAATAAATGCACCAGTTGCACCCACTGGTAGAGATTTCTGACCTGACATACATGCCTTCGTAAAAGCTCGTTCAGATTGTGAATTTCGTTGTATGTGTATATACTTACAATGACAATAAATTATTATTTTCGTTCAGATTACTATAAAAAGGTCTATGTGGGGCTGATATTGGACAGGATCTGGACCCTTCCGTGGGTCTCAAACACCACAGCTGGATTGTTAACTGGGGTGGTTACAGGAATCGAATAACTCCCCAGTTACAGCAGCTCCACCGGCTGCCGGTCGGTTTCTGGGAACAATTCATTCCATGTTGGTTTTGACTTCTAAAGCCCTAAACAACTTGGATTTTATACGAAAGACCCCATTTCCCTTGACAAACCTGTCTTGGTTTTAAAGCCACCAGGGAACGCCTTCCGCTCCGCCCCACCACCCTCGCACATGTCTTTGGGGAGGGCCTGCGACGGGTCCTTCTCGGCTCCGGCTCCCGAGCAAGGGCGTCCTTACCTGTGATCTGTGGGGCCTTCGCCACGGCCTTGGTGAGGAAGGGTTCCTTGTTAGCAAAGGGCAGGATGGCCTCCCCTGCCATGCTCAGCCCCGGGCCGGCCGAGTGCTCCCGCCCGCTGGCCTCCTTGGGGGAAGAGAAGCCATTTTCATGTTTGCTGGGCTGCAGGCCGTTCACGAGGGTCAGGGTGGAGGGCACCGGAGAGCTGCAGCCAAGAGATGGAAGGGAAGCAGTGAGCCCCACGGAAAAGAGAAGCGAAACCGAAGGGCCAGCATCACGAGACCAGGACTCTACCAGATTCCTGAGAAACAGCCGCCCACTCTCCCCTCTGCCTCTACCACCCTTCCTGGAAGAAGAAAGTAGCTTTCCCATCAGGCTTCAATTTCTCAGGATCCTCAAGCGCAGCCACTTAAAACCTTCCTCTCCTGCTCCATAGAGGGGCAGAGGAGTTTTTGTAATTTTCCAATAATATTAAATGGCTAAGCTTAATGCTATTGGGAGGGGCAGAGGGAGGAGGGGCAGAAGACAGTCTTTTTTTTTTCAATGCCTATTAGGGTAGCGCTGATGCAGTGTATCGTTTAGGAAATAAATGAAACAAAATGAAAGCTTCTTCCCAGAAGGAGCAGGAGACAGAAAGGGGCAAAGGAGGGTTTCCCCCCTCTTCTTTTTCTTCTTCTTTTGTTTTGTTTTCTTTCTTTCCTTAAAGGAGGTGAGTCAACTGCGGTCACTTGAGGTGTAAATGCCATGTAGCTGACCTTAAGCAACCCTATTTAAACTGCTCCAGCCTGCTCCAAATAAGCCGTCTAGCCAAGCCCATAGGCTTCTTTCAACACACACAAATGTATTGCTGCCAGTCCAGGTTCTTCCCATGCCATTCCCACCTCTACCTTTCCCGGCTTGAATCAGACCCAAGGCAAAGACCTTTGAGCTGTACGTCCGTCCTACCTGTGCTGCAGACCTTCAGGAAGAGCTCCTTTGCGTCCGGCTGGACTCGATGCCTGCATCTCAGGCAGTTCCTCTTCTTTAGGAAGGCTTCCGGGGCGTTTCTCACCACCTGGCAAAGTCAGGTAAGCAGGACGTCAGAGGTCCTTCAAGGACTTTCAAATCCAGGGACAGACACATCCAGTCTACCAGCCAAGATCCAGATGACATCAGGGGTGTAGTCAAATCTCCTAACCTCGCCCACTCAGAATTCGGATGAGACGATTGGTCTGCAATCCCCTTATCATAAATAGGTGTTCACAGAGAATCTAAAACTCGGCATGAATCTACAATAAAAACTAGCCAGAATCCTGTTACTGATTTATTCTTGTGTAAGAGAAACTGCATGAAGTCTTTGCAGAATATACCAAGGGCGGGCTGCGTTCCGTGGTTACAGGAATCGAATAACTCCCCAGTTACAGCAGCTCCACCGGCTGCCGGTCGGTTTCTGGGAACAATTCATTCCATGTTGGTTTTGACTTCTAAAGCCCTAAACAACTTGGATTTTATACGAAAGACCCCATTTCCCTTGACAAACCTGTCTCGGTTTTAAAGCCACCAGGGAACCCCTTCCGCTCCGTCCCACCACCCTCGCACATGTCTTTGGGGAGGGCCCGCGACGGGTCCTTCTCGGGTCCGGCTCCCGAGCAAGGGCGTCCTTACCTGTGATCTGTGGGGCCTTCGCCACGGCCTTGGTGAGGAAGGGTTCCTTGTTAGCAAAGGGCAGGATGGCCTCCCCTGCCATGCTCAGCCCCGGGCCGGCCGAGTGCTCCCGCCCGCTGGCCTCCTTGGGGGAAGAGAAGCCATTTTCATGTTTGCTGGGCTGCAGGCCATTCACGAGGGTCAGGGTGGAGGGCACTGGAGAGCTGCAGCCAAGAGATGGAAGGGAAGCAGTGAGCCCCACGGAAAAGAGAAGCGAAACCGAAGGGCCAGCATCACGAGACCAGGACTCTACCAGATTCCTGAGAAACAGCCGCCCACTCTCCCCTCTGCCTCTACCACCCTTCCTGGAAGAAGAAAGTAGCTTTCCCATCAGGCTTCAATTTCTCAGGATCCTCAAGCGCAGCCACTTAAAACCTTCCTCTCCTGCTCCATAGAGGGGCAGAGGAGTTTTTGTAATTTTCCAATAATATTAAATGGCTAAGCTTAATGCTATTGGGAGGGGCAGAAGACAGTCTTTTTTTTTTTTTCAATGCCTATTAGGGTAGCGCTGATGCAGTGTATCGTTTAGGAAATAAATGAAACAAAATGAAAGCTTCTTCCCAGAAGGAGCAGGAGACAGAAAGGGGCAAAGGAGGGTTTCCCCCCTCTTCTTTTTCTTCTTCTTTTGTTTTGTTTTCTTTCTTTCCTTAAAGGAGGTGAGCCAACTGCAGTCACTTGAGGTGTAAATGCCATGTAGCTGACCTTAAGCAACCCTATTTAAACTGCTCCAGCCTGCTCCAAATAAGCCGTCTAGCCAAGCCCATAGGCTTCTTTCCACACACACACATGTATTGCTGCCAGTCCAGGTTCTTCCCATGCCATTCCCACCTCTACCTTTCCCGGCTTGAATCAGGCCCAAGGCAAAGACCTTTGAGCTGTCGGTCCGTCCTACCTGTGCTGCAGACCTTCAGGAAGAGCTCCTTTGCGTCCGGCTGGACTCGATGCCTGCATCTCAGGCAGTTCCTCTTCTTTAGGAAGGCTTCCGGGGCGTTTCTCACCACCTGGCAAAGTCAGGTAAGCAGGACGTCAGAGGTCCTTCAAGGACTTTCAAATCCAGGGACAGACACATCCAGTCTACCAGCCAAGATCCAGAGGACATCAGGGGTGTAGTCAAATCTCCTAACCTCGCCCACTCAGAATTCGGATGAGACAATCGGTCTGCAATCCCCTTATCATAAATAGGTGTTCACAGAGAATCTAAAACTCGGCATGAATCTACAATAAAAACTAGCCAGAATCCTGTTACTGATTTATTCTTGTGTAAGAGAAACTGCATGAAGTCTTTGCAGAATATACCAAGGGCGGGCTGCGTTCCCGGGTACACATGTTTTGGAGAAGGGATGGGATAATAAAAATGCAGCAGGATAAAGCCATCCGGAGTCTCTAGCAGTCAATAATAATTCAGTGGGTGCTAGCAGGTCACACTGCTTTACAATGTATTTTAGAGTAGATTTAATCCCAAGCTATAAATCTCCAGTAATTAGATCCCCGTCAAATCCACTTTAGTTGTGACTCTTCCTGAAATGTAAGAGCAATCTGGGTGGATAGAGGAAACCTTCATAAGAAGGCTTGGAAAGACACCCCCCAGACACGTAGGCTCAAAAAGGAGATCGAGACCATGCAGTTCCTCCTGGAATGGTTGGTTTTCAGAGATGAAGAGAGAAAGAGAGAGAGAGCATTCATTTGGAAATAGGCATGATGACCTTCTGAATCTAAAATTGCAGCTGCAGGAGGTCCAACCCAGCCTGTGAAGCTGCTGTAGCAGAGTTAGCAACAGCGATGGGGAGATTCTTACCTGCCCCTGTTTCCACCTCTGGCTTTTCCTCCTTCCCGTTCACAAGCTTCTTGTCATTTTTTTTCTGCCGAGAGAGAAAAAGAAAGAAAAATAAAAGAAGGTAAATATGTTTGACAAATCCAGTTTATGGACCTCAAAGTCACAATTTTCAGAAGAAGAAAACCCACTACAAAAACAGAGAAGAGAAATAGCTGAGATAAGATATATACACATACTGAAGACCGACTTAAAGGACTAAATATCAGTCAAGGGTTCTTAAGCCATTACCAAGTGTGAAATGCTACACTGATTCCGTTTGCCACTTGTGTCAACTGTACTATGGTTACCTTGTTGCCGTGATAACTGACCTTATTCACAGCCTGACCACTTATTCTGTTACTAACAAACCACGATCACTTTGTCCATTAACTGTACCTCCACCTGGTCATGAGGTCGTGTATAAAATATGACAGTCACATCATCTCATTCTTAGGTCTGAGGAAGTGGAGCTGATCCACAAAAGCTCCCACTAAAACGGAGCCATCGTTCTTGAAAGCGCCACAATGTTTTGGTCTTCTTGATTTCTCGTTTTTGTTCTGCATTTTTTGGCCTGATCCTCATGGAGGGAGGAGACCCAGTGCTGGATGCTAAGGTGGATGCTAAGGCTATATCTGTTCTGGGCAGGAAGGGGCAGCCACAGCCCCAACCCCAGTTCCCAGAGGTCCTGCAAAAGTCCGTGAGATGCCCCAAGACAGCCCTGGGGCAAGGTTGCAGCTTCATCTGGCAGGATGAGAGACGGACGCCCGAAACCCATTCTGGACGAGCCCAACAGAAGAAGCTGGACAAGAACCCCGGGTGGGGGGGCATAATCCTCGCAAGGAAGGCTGGGGTTTGCACTGGCATCAGAACATCCCAGGGCCACCTTCTGAAAGGCGATTCAGACTATCTCCCTAACCACCCTCGGCGGGAGGAAGGCAACGGAAGCATCGCTCACCTTGGCGTCAGCTCCGTCTGCTTTCCGTGTCCTCTTCATGATCTCCTCCAGCCGCTGCAGAAGGGAAAAGGAGAGGAAGGTGCTCAGGAAACCACCCTTTTCCTAAGCAAGCCTTCACCAGCTTGCCCTGCCGAAAGGGGCAGGAATGGACCGCCACGGAGAGGGCAGGAGGGTTCCAACGACAAGACGCCCGCACACCCTTAACCCTCACCTTTTTCCTCTCCAGCCGCTCCTGCTCTTCTCTCTGGAAGTGCTTTTCACGCTCCACTCGCTGGCGTTCCGCCTCCTCGCGGGCCCGAGCCTCGGCTTCTTCTCTCTGCAACCCACAAGAGGGGAAGTCAGCTGGGGGAGCCCCTTCCGCTCACACCCTGGGAAGCAGGCAGGCAAGAAGCCTCAAGGGGGGCAACCGGGAAAGGACTGGCCGGGCTCAGGACTTCCCAGACCTCTAAGGATCAGGCGGTAGAGGAACGCGATGGTTTCCGACATCCTTGGACTCCAATCCCCAGCTGGGTTGGCTGGCTAAGGTTCCTGTAATCCAGGAGTACCCGGCCCCTACGTTTGGGAACCAGCGTGTGGCTGTTTTTATGTGACACCAAGTGGCTTCCAACTTTGGGTGACCCTTCCAGGCGGTGCCTCCTCCAAGTAGAGCCAGCCTGGGTGGCCTTGGGCAAGCTGCACCGTCTTGAGCCTCCTCCAGAAAAAGCGAAGGGGGAAACCATTTCTGAGTACTCTGTACCGAGAAAACCCTGGACAAGTCAGAATTGACTTGACAGCACATGATTGTTAATAATAATCCATGGGCAAGAAAGGGATTTGAACCCAGATCTCTGGAGCCGTGGCCTGATATTCCCATCCGATACTAATAAGGCACTGATGGAAGCCATTGGAACTTCGCCAAGCGATTCGAGGCAATCCTAACCCGTTCCCACCAGCAGATGGCAGTACTTCTCCACCCACTCGCCCAACACCACCCGGAAGGATCATGTCGTCCCAAAGCTCGGTTCACCAAGAAAAACGCCACCCCTGCGTTGCAGCCTGGTGGGCACCCGAACGAACCCCTTGCTTCTCGCAGGGCCCAGCTGGGTAGCAGAACTAAAAACCCCAAAAGTTTGGATAAACGATCAAACCTCGTCCTCCCGACTTGGTGCCCTTTAGGTGTGTCTGACTACAAAACCCATGCTCTCTGGAAAAATGGGGGGTGTAGTCCAGAAGGCACTGGGCTGGGGAAGGGAGGTTTTTTAGCCACCTTAGCCGAAATTGGGAAGCAGACGCCACTCCATGGGCCACGGATCTCTGCACACCCCGGGAACCAACCGACCTGCTTCTGGAGTCGCTCCTGCTCCTCCCGTTCAGCCCGGGCCTGATCCTGGGCCTCACGCTCTTCCTGCCGGGCCCGCTCCTCTTGTTCCTGCCGCCGTTCTTCCTCTAACCGGGCCAGCTCGGCTTGTTGCTGCAGGCGGTCTTTGGCTTCTTGCTGAGCCCGCTCCTCTGCCAGGCGCCTGCAGGGTGGCAGACCAAACCCCCCGGATGAACCATCCTCCTCCAGCCCAACGCCAGCTCCCCGAGGCAGGCAGGAGGGGGTGTAAGGAGAAAGCGGCGGGGAGGGAGAGGGGGAGAGCGACGGGAGGGATCAAAGGGGATGGGGAGTCATAGCGGATGCCAAGCTGGCTGAAGGTCACAATCCAGCGCTCTCAAACATGGCTCAATTCCAGAGGTCCAGTTTTCTGGCTACCCAAAGAAAGCAACACTTGGCGCATGCTCAGAGACATGGTCACATCTTAATTTTCGGCACTCCCTAAAGGAAGCCACAGGCTTGAATTTGCAAGAGCTGACCAGGGCTGTTGAGGACAAGGACATTTTGGAGATGGCTCATTTATGGGGTGGCCATAAGTCAGAGGAGACTTCACAACACAGAACAACAACAATAACAGCATCTGGAAAATAGGCTCACAAGATAAACCAGTGAGGTTTAACCTACCACTGAAGCCTGCCAGTTCCTCTCAATTCCATGTTGTGTTCCTTGCATCAAAAAGAGCCAAATTGGTCCAGCAAATAAAACTTCATAGAATCTTAGAACGGCAGAGCTGGAAGGGACCCTCCGGGTCATCCAGTCCAACCCCCTGCCAAGTAGGACCAGTGGGGTAATCAAACTCCCAACCTCTGGATCCACAACAGGAATGGCATAGGGGGAAAAAAAGGGTAGGCTTTACAGCCAAAGACACTTGCATTCTTTGAAAGAGGAGATACACACATGATGGAACGACACAGAGAGACACACCACCCAGTACCTGAAATCTTAAAAGAGTGCAAAAATTGGAACAGGTTGGCTGCAGAAATTACGCAGCAGCAAATATTAAGTCCCAAAGGAAAGGCAGGAAAAAAAAACAGGACCCCTGGAACGCTTGCTGGGCCATATTTGGGATTCTGAAATCTGCCTAAGTGTTGGTAAAGTCAACTGGCTCCTTCTCCAAGGCCATGAGGTCTAGGAACTTGCTCAGTTCAAAAGATTACGGAAACTGGCTTAAGCTCCACCACCCCCCAGAACTTACCGCGCTTGCTCCTCTTGCTCCCTACGCTCTTGCTCCTCGCGCTCCCTCTGCTCCCTTGCCTGGCGCCGTTTCTCAGTCAGGAGACGGGCAGCTTCCTCCCGGTCTGTGGTGCCGGCCATGGGTTTGCTGGGGGTTGTCGGAGGAGCAGGCACTGGACTTGCAGCGCCAGCAGGTCGGCTGACATCTGCAGGAAGGATGCACAGAACACTTCATGGACTGCTCTCATTTTGGCCCATTCGATCTTATGGGATCTCCAAGACCCATGAGAGTTCTAGCTTTCAGAGGGAGAATGAGACAGTTTTTTTTTCATTTGAGAAGCACAGTAGACTTGTCTTTTAGAAGCAACGCAACAATGACCAGAAAGAACAGGGTGACTGTTCAAAACAAAAAAAGGAAAAAAAGATATGAATAAACCATCCGGTGCTTCTAATCCCTAAACATCAAGGAATGTCACAGAAGCAACCACTGGGCTCTTTGAACAAAAGTAATTTTAGATGCCTCCAGAGTTCTTGGAAATCTCCCATCCTCTTACAGGCAAGGAGAATAAACTTTACAGGGTCCTCGATTTGCCGGCGAGGGTGAGATAACTAAGGATTTCCCTCCGTAATCTGCCAAGCGCCAGACGTGCGTGATTAAATTGCCTCGCCAAGAGGAGGAGGAAACCGTTATTCAGCATCCTTTCGCTTCAACATCCCATGCATAACGGATGCCAGGATCTGTCCTTAGAGCTTGGACCTCTGGGGCTGTTTTGCAGGCTTAGCTGTGATTGCTCTCCCCCCGCCCAAGAGAAGACCCTAGGTTGACCACCGCTCCAGACCACCCGCTCCCACCTGGTGCCGTTTCACTGCTCCCGGAGAGCTTCGGGGTCTCGTTGGGGGCCGGAGAGGCTGCCCCTCGTTCCTTCTGCTCGTCCTTGCGTTCGCGGCCTTTGGGCTGGCCGTCGTGCTCCCTGCGAGGGCGGGCCTTGGGCGAGGACTGGGCACTGCGGTTGAGGCCCGGCCGATGAGGAGACCCAGGGCCCGGGCTCGGCGAGGCGGGACGTTGCTTGGCCACTGCAGGGGATGCAGGCCTGGGCTTGGGTCCTGGGCTGCCAAGGGACAAGGGGACATGTGATGGAGACATGAAACCAATCCGGTCTGATCCCTCCACTCATGAGCGCCATTTCCTCCAAAGCATACAAGACCACCCTCCGTCTACGATGATCCAGATTAGTACAATGAACTGCAAATATATCGGGCACTACAGAGCAATGGCACCTGAGCTAGTTAGTTAAAGAGTCCTATCCTGTCCTATATTTGAAGATCTGAGTCAACTCCTCTGTCTCCCCAATGGCCAAACCTCTGTGGCTTCGTTCCGTAAATCACACTAAAGTAGATCCATAAAATCAACAGGGATTGAGCCAACTCCTTCAGAAATTGCCCGGATTCAAATGGGCTTCCTCTAGTTGTCACCTAATTTGGCGCAGGAAGTCACCGTGAGAGAAGGCCCATTTGGATCAATGGGACTCACAGGGGAGTTGACTCAACGCCATCCCCACTGATTCAATGGGCCTACTCTAGTGCAATTCACTACGCGAAGCAACAGGATTGGGGCCAATATTTTAAGGACTCTTGGAAAGCTACCCATGTAGGGATTTGCTAGGCGGGTGGTGTAAAAATCAAGTACATAAATAAATCGAAATAAAATACCTGCTCTCAGGCGTGTGTCGCTGACGAGCCTGATTGGAAGGCATAGACTGGCGTTTGCGCAGAGCGAGGGCGCTTTTCTCTTGAGCGTTTTCCCGATCTTTGTCTTTCTTCTCTTTCTTTTTCTGGGGAAGGAAGAAGGGGGTGGGAATGGCAACGGTTCCTTTTGTCTGGACTACAATTCCCAGAATCCAGCAGCAGCCCCTGGCTCTGAGCATAGGCCTCCAACAGAGTCCTCCCCCCCATCTCTTGAGAAGCACCGGAGGGAAGACAAGGGGATCAACGGAGGTGGGAAGGATGGGAAGAGCAAGAAGACCCAGGTGCTTACCGGGGAGGCCTCGACCCGGCGCCGAGGGGTCACGTCCGGGCTGCTGGTGGCCGGCCGCCGTCGCTCTGAGCAGCGGTGATGCATCCGGTGGTTGTTACAGGGACTAAGGGGGCTGGCGGAGGCTGAGCGGGGACACACCGGGACCACTGCAGAGCCAACAGAAAGAAAAAGAGGGTCAACGAAACCCTCTGGGGACCCCAAGGCCCGGGAGCCGAAGGCACGGAGCGCCAGAAGGAAGCCCAACGCATGTTACACCGTAGTGTAAGGTTCATCCCCTTCCTGCTCACAAGCCTTATAAAAACCATTCGGATTACAGCCCTGCGGTCAGCAGAGTTGAGAACGGTTACTTTTGCGGACCACAACTCCCATGCTCCCCCGTTAGAACAGCCTTGTCGGCAAAAGGAGATTCTGGAAGATGTCGTCAAAAGGAATGAAGTTCTCTAGCTCTGGTTAGGGTGGTTCTTCTAGCGCTGTTCGGACTTTCCAGGCCAAAATCCTCTGATGCTAGCTCGGGGGCTTTGTTTCTGAACAGGAAGCTTGGGCCGAGCAAGGCCGAGCTAAGCCTCAAAGCCTTCTGGGTCAGGCCTTTCTCCCAGGCGAGCCACAATCGGTGGCCCGTAAAGTGTTCGTCTATCGAATCAAAGTCCCCGAATAAAGAATTCTTGGATTTGTAATCTTAAAAAAAAAATCTCATCCCTATGGACAAACATCGTTCCAGTTGTTTCTAACCACCAACGCCAGCCGCTCTTTGCATGACAGCAAATGACAGGGGATTATGGGAATTGCAGACCACAAACCTCTTGAGGGCCGCCAGACTCCACCAGGGAGAGGAGAGAGCAGAAAAGTCGGCAACAGAGTGTGAACAGCAGAGGCTGGGTTCAAAGCCCAAATCTTGTCCCATCAGAGCGCTGTGGTTCCCTGCACCCTCTCGGCCCCCTCACATGCTCCCACTGACCTTGATCCTTTCCGTTCCCGGCAAGCGTCACGGCACTCCGGCTGCGGGCCAGAAAAGAGAGCGTTGGCGTCATGAGCCGGTCCACGATGCTGCTCTCCCAAGGGCTGAGCTGTAGACTGCGGTCTGATGGGGGAAGACAGAGAAGAAGGGTCTGAGTTAGACCAGATCCTGGCAACCCCACCTTCAACCCTGGCCAGAGCTCAGCCGAAAGGGGTGGGAAAGGCCCTCGCCACTGACGTGCAAATGGGACACAGCAAATGAAATTACAAAAAGGGGTGAAGCAGCCACCCTTTCCCACCATCTTCATTCGAGGCTATTTAGCTTTGGAAAAGTCAAGGAAGGGAACGCATAAAATTAGACTTTCCTTCTTCTCCTGTCTTATTAGAATCCAGAAGCTGAATGGTTGGAGATGAGAAAGGGTGTAGGTCTTTCACAAAGACACAACGTAGCATGAGACTGTGGAACTCACTGCCACAAGATGCAGACACACACACCCCCAACCTGAATGGCTTTCAAAGAGAATCAAAGATGCATAGATGCAGCTACCAGCTATGAGGTTCTGGAAATTGTGGTCCAAAATACCCATGGCTCCTATTTCTGGACAGCTCATTGGCAAAGGCAGTGGAAACAAGCCAGCAATAAGCACAGTCAAAAGGGTCACCAAAACAACGGGGTTATTTCCTCTTGGTTTGTCCAATTTAACACACTTTCTCAAAGTAGCTCTGTTTCGTGGCCAGGCTGATGCAGAGGAGCGATTTTAAAAGTCATGTTTAAGCCCCTCAGACAATATGGGACCACTTCCTATTTCATTGGGTGTTTTTTATATCTCGGTTCCACCCCGAGGTCTCATGCATTCCTTCCTATTCCGAACCCGCAAGAAAATCATAGAACAGACCATGACATTACATGAGACAAAGCAGAAAGGGAGATTTAAAGAGTTCCGGCCCAAGGAAACCAGGCAACGAGGCAAAAAGAGAAATAAATGTAACTACTGATATAAACACATCACAATATTACAGAATTATCTTTATACATCACATGTTGTCCGTTTAAAATATGACATGTAAAATAAAATGTAAGCCAAAAACATAAGCAGTTTCCAAAGTTTAAATGGGACACCCCTCCTGTCTAGGTAAATCGCTTTCTCTCTCCGTCCCTCTGGATTGCTATCTGAATAATTCCGTCATCGGGATCCACCCAATTCCAAATCTATGAAGAATCCCAGCCGGAGACACTTGGCAGACCTCGGCTCCTCCCCGCTCCCGGCCGTTCCCTTTGCCTCTTCCGGCATCTTGTTCTGACACCCAGGGTATTTTTAATCATCGCCAAGCAACGAGGAAACAAAACACAGCTCAGAGCGGAAATACTATCCGTAGAAGCAGTGATAAGATTGGGGGAGTAGAGGTAACCAGAGCCGAGAGAGAGAGAGAGAGAGAGAGAGAGAGACAGAGAGAGAGATCCCAGCCTACAGGCTTGCAATGAGCAGTGTCTTGAGATCTTGCAGCAGCTCCAGCAGAAGGAGATTTCTGCAAGCATAAAAATGTCTGGAAGCAGAGGAGGCTTGGCAAACATTGCCCGGTGGTGGGTCGGGCTCAGTAAGAAGCCCACGTCTAAGTTCCACCTGATATCTTAGAGCAGAAAACGGGATGCTTCTCCAATTTCTCCCTGTATTTTTCTGCAGACTGAAATATTTTGCAGCTGCCCCGATTCCTATGAAGTCATGCCCACCAATGTTAGCTCCGTCGGCGTAACGGCTGCGCGGGCATCTTGAAGGAATGGGGACTCAAGTTCTGGGATCTGGTGATAATGATTCAGACTTGACTCAGGATTCCAAACTCAGCCAACCTCCCCCCCTTTTTTTTCTTTTCCTCGGGAAAAGCTTGTTTTTAATAGGGACCCTTTTTTGGGGGGGCTTGGGACTCGATACTAAAAACTCAAGACTCAGACCCAAATCCTTGCCCACGTTCTTACCATCTTGCCATTATTTGCACCAATGGGGCAACTGTAGCGTAAATATGTAACAGCTTTCCAAGCTGCGGTTCCTAATGCTGAAAGCAACACGGGACATCGTCTTCAAAAACAGGCTCGGTTGCTAAAATGGGGGATCATGGGATGGGTAGTCACGACAACCGGAGGGCACCAAGTAGAGGAAGGATTCTTGGCAGATCCGGCAGCAAGACAAAGCAGATGTAACGGGGACGAAACATACCAGTGGCCTGATTTATTAGAACAGACATTTTATTCTTTATGTGTTTCTTTTTGATTCCCCTTTTCTTTCTTTTCTTTTTTTCTTTTTTGCTTTTTTCTGGGGCCTACAACCCTAAAAGGAAACTTTCCCGAGTTTTAAAAGAAAATTAAAAAGAGGAGTTGCATAATGAGACAGCTTAGCGTTGTCCCTCCCGGGTCTGTCTACCACTAAGCAGAAAAACTCAGAAAACCCACCAAAAATTCAGAAATCCCATCAGAAAACTCTCCGGGATCCGAAGAGACGTTTATTACCAGGAACAATGAGGAAACTTTCAGTACACAAGGGTCTGGCAGCACTTAAAGAGGCTAAGCCGTGAATTAGGAGGTCCCTCGCCTCCCAAATCTCCTTTGCCACAAACTCAGTGGCCACAGACAAGCTGATATTTCTTCGCCACGCATGCGGCGTTGGTTCTAATCCTGTCTGCAATCGTCCGGCCATGAGTCTTCCCAGCCTCCTCAGCAGGACGACACAGAGACCGTGCGGAAACCGCTTCGATTGTTCAGAAAGCATTACAAGGATGCAAAAATGACAATTCCTGCCCCTCTCCAGCTGACGACCCAAATCAGGAGGGTGGCAGAATTGTTACTGGGGGAGGAAAGGCCGCAGGGGACCCCGGCTGTAGGTGTAGGCGGCTCAAAACAATCCTGCACTTCCTTATACCGTGTCTCTTTCTCTCTCCCTCTCCCCCCTTAGCAACATCAATGGCAGAGACGCAGGCTCACGGCGGGACTGTGCAGGCCCCTGGCACATGTTGGAAAACAGAATCGCCAGCTGAGCGTAAAGGCCAATCCATAAATCCAGGGTAGAGAGAAAATACAGCAAGGCGCATTGCCCTCAGGGGGGAAAAAAAACGGGAGAGGTTTTGCTCCCTTTGTGCAGATATTTGATCTCAACAGGTACATGCCTAAGGCAGCTCTCCCAAACCTGATGGCCTCCAAATGCATTAGACTACAAATCCCATCACTCCACAGCCAGTGGAGAGGGAGGGAACAACCGTTTCCCTAACGTACCTGGGCTTTAAATCTTGCTTCAAAAGTTATACCTTGCACTACACTTGGAACGCTTGTAAGATGTGCAGGATCGAGACCAGATCTTGTCCCGAGGTAGCGTACATAAATAAAAACCTTGTTCTTCCCCCTCATCTTTTCTGAGCTATCCAAGACCAGCTTATACACTTATTTATTGCTCTCTGCCCAGTGAGTTGTGATAAAATTCTGCTACTGTATCTTCTTTTCTTTTAAACGCTGCTCTTGCTAGTGGCATATTGTCAAAAAACGTTACGCCTCTGTTGTGTCACTTTCTTATTTAAAAACTTGTGAGCCACTTTGAACATCGGACTTAAAAAGCAAGGTGTGACTATGGGAAACAGACCACTAAGGTTGAGCAGGAGGCAGTGGCGCCCGGACTGAATGTCCGGGTGGTCCTCAAAGGTTAGGAGCCAGAGTGGTGTGTAGTGGACAGAGCAACGGACTAGTATTCAGAAAACCCACGTTCGAATCCTCCTGCTCAGCCATGGAAACTCACCAGATGGCGGGAATGGTAAAAATCACTCCTTAAATATCTCACATGACTCGAAAAACCTATTAGGCTGGATGTGGCGCAGGACAACAAGCAAATGTAGGGCGGACCTTGAGGAAGAGCGAGGGTGCAGAAATCCTATAGTAATCAAGCTCACATTGCAAGGATACAGTCCAGACAGCAGCTCCTCAATGCTGTCCACATTTAATATTGCAGATCAAGGCAAAAGCTGAAATAGACACCAGCAGGTAACAACCTTGCAGGGCAGACCAATGTTAATATTGCAGCTCGAGGGGTCGCTGGAGACAGAGAGAGCAGCGTCTCCCAATGTTAAAGCAGTGTGTTAAAAGACGGGCCTTGGCTTGGCTTTTGCAGACACTCTGTTCCATACAAAACGTCTCTCGGGTGGTAGGAAAAGGAAATCGGCTGCCTCACATCCTCTCCCAGGGGTGACCTAGCACTCAGGTCCTGTAGAGAAGCCTTCTGCGCCACTGGTGGGCATCCGCCCTGGTACAAAGGGCCAGGCAATGGCGAATCCGTGCCTATTGGTACAGGTCGGCCAAGTCCTGCTCATGACTAGGGTTAGAGGACGTAGCCTCCGGCCCTCTGAAGAGGTGTGTGTGTGTGCGTGCGTGTGTGTCTGTGTCTGTGTGTGACAATTCCATCACCTCCTTTTAGAGGACGTAACCTCCTGCCCTCTGAGGAGATGTGTGTGCATGTTCGTGTGTGTCGTTGTTTCTCTGTGTGAGAATTCCATCACCTCCTTTTTCCAGCCTTCCAGGATATGAGCCGGCTTTCTGTCGCCTTCCAGACCCAACTAAGCCCCCGATCCTCCTGAGTCGAATCCAAACTTAGTTCCAACTGATTGGTCCCACTTAAATCAATGGAACTTTAGGAGCCCTAATATTTTAACTGGACCTCACAGGGAACCATCTGGGAAAGTTAAGACCGTTCCCACCAGGTGACTAACCTACGGCATCTAATTCTATGATGAGAGGGTACGAAGGTTAAAGATGTGGGTTTTTTAAAAAAAATTAATTAATTAATTAAAGGTGGCTAAGTGGCTTGACCTGAATCTCCGAGGCTTTTGAAACCGTGACAATTTGGGCGTTGATGGTCCTTGTGATCTGCATCTCGTGAGGAAAATAAAACCGTACTTTCTTGGGAGTGGACGCTTCAGCAACAAAAGCTACAAGCTGATCTGGCTAGAAATGTAATAAGGCGCCTTAAAATAATGAAAACACATCCCTCCGTAATAGATCAATTTCAATCAAATGGATGGTGGTGAACTACCAGGATCAGCAAGGATGAGACCAGGGACCAGCCTTAGGGAGGAGTTAAAAGAAGCAATGATGATTATTCATAAGTCTAAAGGTCAGGCTCACCAAATTAAATGGGGGTCTTCCCTCATAATACAAGCATGGCGATTCTTCCCTCAATTATTTTCCTCCCTGGATTTGTCTGATCTCGCTAAATATTTATGCACATTTGCCAGTGGCTGCTTATTATTATTATTATTATTAATTACAGATTGCTTCCTCGGTGTAAGAGCTGGAAGCAGCCTGGGAAGCCGTCCGCAGGAAATGCCCCGAACGCTCAACAGATGGCTGTCCGTCCTCTCTGCTTGAAAGGCAACCAGAGGGAGCTCATCACCTCCTCGGATAATTAGTTCAATCAACTTTTAGTCAATTAACGAGTCTGACGAATTGATAGGAGGCATATTTAACAGCTGTCTGGAAGACGGATCGTATTGAACGGGAAGGGGCGGGCAAAACAGCCGCCTCTGGGATGCTCCTGGGTGACCACCCCATCACGCCTCACCACAAGTCTGTGGCTTATGGGAGTTGAAGTCCAACACTACCTGAAAGGCAAGTCCCCTTATGGAAATGAAGAGTGAAGAGCAGCAAATGCTTTTCCGAAGATTGGCCACTGGTATCTGTCTGGCTGGGTAGCTCAGTGAGTTAGGTGTCTGGTTGCAAAGCCAGAGGCTGAGAGTTCGAATCCTCCACTGTGCATCCCAGAAGAACCAGCCTGGGTGGCCTTGGGCAAGCTGCACATTCCCAGAACTGTCCCCCAGGAGAAGGGAATGGGAAATCATTTCTGAGCACTCTCTACCTAAAAGAACCTTGAAAAAGGGTCGCCATAAGTCAGGATCGACTTGATGATGATGATGGCAGGCACATCATCATCATCATCATCATCATCATCATCAGTGTGTGCTGTCAAGTTGATTCCAACTTACAGTGACCGCTTCCAGGATTTCCTAGGTAGAGAGTACTCAGAAGTAGTTCCCTTCCTTGGGGGAAGTCTTGGGACTCTGCAGCTGGCCCAAGGCTACCCAGGCTGGCTCTTCTCCCAGGAGGTCCAGGGGGGGAATTGAACTTCAAAACACTAGCTCCACATTCTGACTTACGGCCACCCTTTTCAGGGTCTTCCAGGTAGAAGTGGTTAACCATTCTTTTTTTTTTTTTACATTTTTCTG